GAGGAAGAGGAAGAGGAGGAGGAGGAGGAGGAGGAGAAGGAGGAAGAGGAAGAGGAGGAGGAGGAGGAGGAGAAGGAGGAGGAGAGGAGGAGAAGGAGGAGAGAGGAAAAGGAGGAGGAGGAGGAGGAAGAAATCTAAAGATCAGTAATATAAGAGAAAATAAATACTCCAAAGATATGAATAGACCTTCCATAGAAAAAAATTACTAATGAATTTTAAATATATCAAATAAGTTCAAGCTCATGAGGCTGAGGCAGGAGGATCTTGAGTTCAAAGCCAGCCTCAGCAAGTGAGGTGCTAAGCAACTCAGTGAGACCTGTTTCTAAATCAAAACTACAAATTAGAGCTGAGAATGTGGCTCAGTGGTCAAGTGCCCCTGAGTTCAATTCCTGGTACAAAAAAAAAAAATAATAAGTTCAACCTCACTTAAAAAAAAATAAATGCTTGGGCTATTACATCCAACGTTTGCTAACACATTTGAGTGTGGGTGGGAATTACTGACTCTCTTCTAACCAAAAGAATGTAACAAAAGGAATAAGAAGTCAGTTCCCAAATTAAGTTACAAAAGGACTCTGACTCCTCCCTCCCTGCCCCCCATCTCCTCCCTTATTCAAAGGAACACCAACTACTCCATTGAGAATGCTCATTGGAGAGGACCACTTGGAAATAGCTGGTGTCTACCGCTAATGAGGACCTGAGGGTTGAGTCAACTTGAAGYAGATCTGACTCACCCACTTGAGCCTTAAGATAACGCCAGCTCCAGCCAACACTCTTGACAGCCTCATAAGACTTAAAGCCTGAGGACCCAGCCCAGCCATACCCTCACCCAAAGAAACTGGTAGATAATAAGTGAATTTCTGTTGGAAGGCACTAGGTTTACGGCAATCTGGTACACTCTAGCAGATAACTAATATAGATTGGGGTACCTGGAAATGGAGAGCTGTTTTGACTATGGAACCAGGAAGTGGGCAGAGGCTGGACAGATTTTAAGGAGCATGTTAAAGAAAGCTGAAGTTATCTTAAATAGACTGTTAGTAGCAATGTCACTGTTGGGAATGCTGCCAGTAAGGGCACAAAAGCAAGCGAGGAGTGTGTTACTAGAAAGTGGCAGAAGAGAGATCCTTGTTATGTAGTGGAAGAAAGATATAGATAGAATCGTGTTGTTCAGCTTTCTTCTACTACATAACAAGGATCCCTCTTCTGCCACCTTCTAGTAACACATTTCTCACACAKTCTATAAGATAGAAAGTGGATGCATGCAGAATGAACTGGGTGACCTAGCTTAAAGAACAAATTAAGTCCAAATCTAGAAGAAAGGAAATATTAAAAATAAGAACAGAGATAAATAAAATAAAAGACAGAAAAACACTGGAGAATTAGACACAGTGGTTCACCTGTAGTTTCTGGTGCTCTAGAGGCTAAGGTGGGAGGATTAATTGAGTCCAGAAGTTAAGACCTCCCTGAGCAGCATAGCAAGACTCTGGTTTTAAAACAAAGCAGTGAACAAAACCAAAAGTTGGTTCTTCGAAGAGATTAACAAAATTGACAAACCTTACTAGATTGACTAAGAGTTAACAAAGACTCAAATTTACTAAAATCAGAAGTTGAAGTGGGACCATTATTACTAATGTAATAATTTTTATTACTAATAAAAA